AAATATCAAACAAATACTTTATTCCTGATCAAATAGTCCAACTTTATATTACTTCTTCTTGCTGTTCAAAATCTTTCATCAATCTTTGGCATTCAAGAAGAATCTAAAGCACTCACCACCTTCCTTTGTAAATCCCATGAAGAAGTATCATCCAGGTATCCTTCTGTTATTTAGGCAGGACATCACTCCTACATAAATGTCAATGTTTATTCAACATTACATATTTTCTGCAATAGTAGGGATTTGGGAGAGTTATAAAGGAGCAAGATCTGGAATCACAAACAATTATCTATTTGTAATTTGCTTAAATATATTTTCTGGTTGGATATAATAAAACTGTGCTTCTTCAAAGCGTATTGCTTCTGGTGGAGATGGGGAAAAGATGAAATTTTTTGGACAGTCAATACATGGTGAAATGGACTTAAATGGAGATGGACTTACAGATGTCACTATTGGAGGCTTGGGAGGAGCAGCCCTTTTCTGGTAGGTGTATTCAAATTTAAGTTTAAAATTCAACCTTGTTATCAGTAATATATCAGTTGTATTCCCTAATTAAATTCTTTGTCATATGTGAATGTAACTGACGGAATAATATCCATTCTTAAGGAAGGGTTGGAGGTACTGGCATGGTTGGAGAACTTGGCATGATTTTCAGAAGTAACTGAGAACTCTAAAACAGCTGATTGTGCTTTGCATAAAATGTTGAGTGATTGAATTAAAATGACCCTTGAAAACTGGAATGCAGACTCTAGGGAAATAGCATGACTGTGTGGCCAGGCTGGCATCTTGAGCAAAAATATGTCATAGTGTAGACACAAAAATAGACTCTTTTTTTTAGAAACATTGGAAAATAATGTTAAGTAGAGAGAGGAAGTCAAGTTCATAATAATATTAGGACTGTCTAATAGTATTTAAAATGTTTGGGGCTTTACACAAGCATAGGACCCTCCCCCTTCTATTCATGAAAGTGTTAGAAAGTTACTGAAACAATTTCCAGATTAGTTTGCCCTCAGCATACTGTCAGCCAGTTCTTATATCCAGCTCAGAGCAAGCACACATGCCACTAAATATTATAAATATTATAACATGCTGAACATTTTGTAATATTTCTTAATTGTTTTCTTGAATGGTTTTAGGTCTCGAGATGTTGCCCAAGTAAATGCTTCCATGAAATTCATGCCGAACAAAATTGATATTCAGAAGCTAAGCGGTGACATTCAAAAACAAAAGGTGTATATTAACTCCACAATTTGTTTTGAAGTCAGATTAAAGTCAAAAGACATCACAATTAATGAAACAGGTAGGTGGATATCCAGATTTCTGAACTCTGCACAGATGTTTTCTACCAGAAACTTCTGCTGGGAGGAGGAGGTGTCAAATATCAAGATGGTAACCCCTAATCTCCATGCCTTTTCTTTTTATGTGTGTCATGCATATAACACACATCCCCCCCCCAAAAAAAGCTGCTATCTTGACTGTTTTGACCCCTCTCCTGAGGATACTTCTGTGTTTACTGTTCAAACCACAGCAGTAATAAAAAACACTGACTTCTGAACGGTTCTTTGGTAGTCTGCAGAAAGATTTAAATACTAGGCCATCACTTTGGGCATACCTTTGTTGCATAAAAATAAAACAGAACTGAAGTTTTTAAATGGTTTTATAATATCGTATTTCATACTGGCTAGAAATTGAAGTAGGGATTGAGAGATCACATTACTTAGAACTTTACTAATGAGGAAAAAAGGGAATAAATAAATAACCAATTCAAATGACCTAAAGCAGGCATGTCAAACTCGCGACATCACGTGACATCACGTGACGTATCGCGACTTTTTCCCCATTGCCAGCAATTAAAGTTTTCCCTTTTCAAATCCCCTGGACTTTCACAACAGTATTCAGGATTCAAAGGATAACCATAGCTATTTATTTAGATGATTATGCAGTATATAGAATGTTAGAAAAAACCCTAATTATGATCTTCAGAGGTTTATCCTAGAATTGAGAATGAAATGGAGACTAAACTCTATTTAAGAGGAGAATAAATAATTGTTTCAGTGTATGTGAGCAACCTCCTATTGTATCACAATTAGATACACATTCTATCCATGGACAAATAATATTTTTGCACAAATGGTAGAATAGGAAATGTATATCCTTTGTTAAACTTTTGGCCCATTGCCTTTAGTTTTACTAAACTGGTCTGCCTCAGCAGATAGCAGCCTTGACTTATCTAGATTTGGAAGCTAAGTAGCATCAGGTCTGGTTAGGACTTAGAGGGAAGACCTTCAGAAAGTTAAACTGAAAGAATTGAAACATATCCTGGAGCGGAGCAGGAATTAGAAAGTTGTTTCCATGCAGCTATCAAGAAAACTACATGATCAAGCAATATAAAGATCTTCAACCCCAAAGCCTAACTAACAGAATTCCAGCAATGCAACAAGACAACTCTAAGCTACACATATTATAGTTGATACCCTCACATTGTATTAATACAGTCTTTAAAAATGATAGAACTAATGAAGGGAAACAGATGAGCAGCTTTCATACAGAGCTACTTTAGAAAAGTTTTACATATGGAATTAATTGCTCCTATTTTTGTTCCTAGATATACAGTACTGGCTTACACTTGATTCACAAAGAAAGGTGTCTCGAACACTTTTTGCTGAAACAAATGAACGGAAGATTCAAAAAAACATCACAGTTAGAGGTTCAGAATGTATTAAGCACAACTTCTACATGTTGGCAAGTAAATCATATAAAGTGGCTGTCTCTTTTGTTTATTGCTATAATTGCCTTTATCTCATTATTAAACAATTTTAAATAGCTTGTTTCTATTGTATTGGTCTACTATAGGAAGTTAATATTGATCTCATTGGGGACAATAGCCTTGTAACTCACTATGTTCTCACTATTAAGTTCAAAATGGCATAGTAAACTCTTGTATATACACTTCCATTATCACAGACTGATTAGCAGCATACTGATATTTACATGGAGAAAATACCTTTAAAATATACAGTTTAAATATATATAATCACCTGAATCTCTTCCCCATCTTTCTTTTTCCATTTTCCATATGCATTATTTTTCCATTTTCCATATGCATTTATAGAAGATTAAATATGGTGGATGGCTGAAACTGAGAACTTTGCAAATATGTCACATGTTGAGATGGTAAACCGCAACTTGAGGGGCTGGGTTATGACAAATGGATGATTTGTGTCTGGCCATGTCCTCTATCCCAACTTATTGTGTACTTCCCACATATTTACCTATAAGCAGTGGTGGGATTCAGCCAGTTCGCATCACTTCAGCAGAACTGGTAGCTAATTTTTTGTTGCCCAGGCCCAGAATGGACTTCCAGATGCGGCAATCGCACAGAGAACCGGTTGCTCACATATTTGAATCCCACCACTGCCTATAAGGGTGGCAACACTTAGCTAAACATGGTTAGTCTTGTAAAAAAACCAAACAACATCCTCCATCAAAATCACTAGGAAATAGGTAGCATTCCCAACATTCCTGGGAAAATTAACGAACACTTCCATATTTTGCCAAGAAAGCAATATACATAACCCTCAATTTATGATCACAATTGAACACAAAATTTCTGTTGTTAAGTGAGACATTTGTAAGTGAATTTTGTCCCATTTCACGATCTTTTTCGCCATGGTTATTAAATGAATTCTGCAGTTGTTAAGTTAGTAACACAGTTGTTAAGTGAATCTGACTTCCCCATTGACTATGCTTATCAGAAGGTCACAGAAGACCACATGACCCAGCGACACTGCAAAAGTTATAAATATGAGTCAGTTGCCAAGAGTCTGAATTTTGATCACATGACCCTGGGTATACTGCAATGGTCATAAGTGTGAAAAATAATTCACTTTTTTCAGTTCTGTTGTAACTTTGAATGGTCACTAAATGAACTGTTGTAAATTGAGGACTACCTCTATATGTCCCAAAGAGTTTGAGCTTTGTGGTTCCAGGTAAAGTCTTTACCAAGACTATTTACAAGACACAGCAATATCTCATTAGTTACAAATAAAAAATTGGAAAGGAAATATCTTAATTTTTATTAAGCACTGAGGTCTAGACAATTCCTTCTGCTATCACTGTTGTTATCAATATCATCATCATCATTCTTTTTAATGCTTGTTAGCTAATTATGGGCATGAATTAGACCTGAATTAGACTGAAAGCATGCATTTTTAGTGAAGCTTATAAGTTGCAAGAAAAAAAGTAATCTTGTTTGGGTGCTAACCTCCTAATATGAAAAATTAGCTAGTTGGCTTATTTTCTTCCATCCAGACAGTAGATCTCATACCATCCAGAGGGGCTTTCTATGATAGTACCCAAACCTCTGCATCCAAATCAACTTTAATCCATGCTATGACCACTTTGCTTTTCATCTGGTTTGCCCTCACTATCCCTGACTTCCCAGTGCCCCCCAGCAGCGCAGCAGGATCTTTGACCTTCACCTGCCAAAGATGATGAAGAAGCTCCTCAGTTGGAACTTTTACCTTGCATTAGTTGCTCTTTTTTTTATCATTTTGAGGAGGTAGTAGCAGGCAATCATTTACCGTGCTTTCTAGACATCCTTGGCTCAGGCCAAAATGGAAAACTTTGTTCTGTGCCAATTTTCAGGAACTAGATCTTTAAAATCTATTGTGTTTGACAACCAAGAATGCCTAGCAACAGCATGCAACTGTCAGGGACATGTCCCATGCTTGCTAGATAATTTTCAGTGCGAGATAGATTTCATTGTTGTAAACATATATTTCTTTTTCTTTCTTTTCTTTTGTAGCTTTATATTTATGCAGTTTTAAATTATAGACTACATGGGGTCCCCTTCCTTCATATAGCAACCTGTATTTATATGAAAAGTAAGGAGGAATCTGCTTAGAATGGAGCCTTATTAAATGTATAGATTCAGATTGTCAGTTTCTAATACAAACAGTTTCTTGTTCTTGAAGAAGGAGCAAATTCTAATGCTTGATTTGCTTCGGATTTTTTTCCCAGGGCAAGCCTGACTTTCGTGACCCAATAAAGGTTTTGCTGGAGTTTAATTTTTCTGATCCAGAGAGTGGGCCAATCCTTGATAGTGAGCTGCCCAATTCAGTAGTTGAATATGTAAGTCACTACAATGTGGAAATTTTTAACTTTTGTGTTACAGTATAGTGTTATATATGAAATTTGATCCTCTACATGTGAGTTGACTCACTCCATCTGCCCCCACTCATTTCTGTCCTCCCTTTAAGTCAACTTGTTCCAAAGGTGAGAAGGGCCATAGCAGAAATGCAACATTCAAACATAAGGACAGATTAGAGAGATCACTTACATTTTCCCAAAATGAAGAAATAAATTGGGTCCTGTCCTTGGGTCCTGTCAAGTTGAGTCATCAAGTTGGGTCCTGTCCTTGGTAAAATAAGACATGCAGCTATTATAAGCTTGACTGAACATGGCCATGTGCCTATTCTATAGTTATACATTTCTATTTGTTTTCTCCATTCTTTAACACAATATCTTTCTGTGACAGGGGAAGATAAAGACATTTTAGCCACATTCTTCCTCAGCATATTGTTGATGGGTATGGCTATGCAGGCATGTATACATAGCTTGGGCTTCCTGTTAGATACTTTATGGAAATATTGGAGCCCAGCTCTTCTGTAAATATGATGACACTATTAAAAACTAGGCAGGACTTTCCAGAACTCAGGACAAAGACCAGGGGGAAAGGAGAAATGAGATTGGATGTGTGATCATTTCATTGCTGATCAAGAATTCTTTGCAGATCCATTTCACAAAAGACTGTGGAAACAAGAACAAATGTATCACAGATCTACATCTGACTGCTAACGCAACCATAGGAGGAAACAGGTAAGTCAAATGAAACATAAATTCTATCTCTATCTCTCTTTGCCTTTCTCTATTTTCTAATATAATGTTCTTTTAAAATATGATTTAAAGAGTTAAATATAACAAAAATAGAAATAAAAATAATGATAAATCATTATCCATAAAAAATTATTGAAACTCTAAAGAGGACTAAAGTAGACATTATGGAAATTGCTTGGTGGTTGCCCAAAATAGGAGCCCCTTACACCTGTCCCCCTTTTCCCTTATCATGTGATAACTCATATGAGCACTCTGAGTCTCCAAAAGAAATGGGGGGGGTGAGAGGGGAAGAGAGAGAGAGAGAGAAAGAAACAGTTGGGATGACACAAATCATGCAGGCTATGTACTCTTGGAAGGTCATTAGAGGACTGGAAACTAAAACATATAAAGAATGTTTGCAGGAATTGTATATGTCTAGTTAAATGAAAAGAAGGACTATAAGTAACATGATAGCAGTGTTCCAATATCTAAGGGGCTACCACAAAGAAGAGGAAGTCAACCTATTCTCTAAAGCAGGGCTTTTCAACCGGTGGTACACATACCACCTGTGGTACTTTGCCACATGGCAGGTGGTATGTGACCATCCTAGAGAAGTGTAGCGAGGGAGGAGAATGAGCCAAAGCGAGCCAAGCCTGAGGAAGAGGCAGCTGCAGCTGCAGGACTGCCTGGGCTTGGCAGAAGCCCCAGGAGCCGGCAGGGCTCCAGCTGATTGGTTCCAGCTGATTGGCGCTTCCAGAAGCAGCTCAGAGCTGGAGACGAACTGAAGAAAAGGGGGGAAGGAGAGGAGAGGCTATAAAAGGAGGTGGTTTGGACAGGAAAGGGAAATAAAGACAACAGGGAAAGGTTTAATCCCTTTAAACAAATGTAATTAGTTTTACCCCCTTTAACTGAGTCTGTGTATGGCTTTTAGAAAGTTTTCTTTGAAAGTAAACAGGCTTAATTTAAAGCTAAAGCTTTTCACAATTGCCAGAGCCTTTCAGTCTTGGATTGCAACATTGTGACACGTCACACATGACACGCCTGAGGCAGCTTAAAGAAAAAAACTCTGGAGTTTATGTGTTTCTTTATTTTGTGAGCCTTTCTTACTTTGCACTTGATTCCTGTGTCTTTAAGGGTACAGGGAAGGGATTTGGGGGGTGGGGTGCATTCTTACTATATTGTGGAAAAAGCTCAGAAGGGAGAGAGGAAGAAGGGCCGACCAGCTAGTTCAGGGGTCTACAAACTTAGCAGCTTTAAACCTGTGGACTTCAACTCCCAGAATTCCTCAACCAGCCATGATGGCTGAGGAATTCTGGGAGTTGAAGTCCACAAGTCTTAAAAGTGCCAAGTTTGAAGATTCCTGGGCTAGCTGATAGTGGTGCATATTAATAAACATGGATAAATTCATCATACATTTGTCAGTGCAAGGGGAAAGTGATTCAGCAAAGGAACAGCCACTTAAGAAATTAAAACTGATACTTTTTTCCTTTTTTTCTACAGTTTGTAATATTTTATTAGATTATAGAATAAAATACAAAAATACAAAAGCAAATAGGACACAGTGGGGAGGAAAAAGGGGGGAAAGTGAGGGGGAGAAGGGAAAAAGAACATACTTCCTCTGTTGCAGTAGAAGGAAGCATTAACATTGAACCTCAACTTTTTACTTTTCCATAATATTATAAACTAGCCATTTCTATAACAACAAATGAATCTACTCAGTAAAACCCAAAATCCCCTCCTTTTTTTTAGTCATCAAGTTTTTGACACCTTGCTAAGCACTGGTGGTACTCAAATATTGTCATGTCCTAAAAATGGTACAATCTGTGAAAAGGTTGAAAAGCTCTGCTCTAAAGCACCTGAAGGCAGGACAAGAAGCAATGGATGGAAACTAATCAAGGAGATATGCAACCTAGAACTAAGGAGAAATTTCCTGACATAATAATTAATCAGTGGAATGACTTGTCTCCAGAAATTGTGGATGCTCAAACACTGGAAGTTTTTAACAAGAGATTGGACAATGATTTGTCTGAAATGGTACAGGGTTTCCTGTCTGAGTAGGGGGTTAGATTAGAAGACCTCCCTTCCAACTATTATTCTGTTATTCTGTCACTTGGAGCTTTAGTCCTCCTTACCATTATTTGCAGCTCTTAAACTTTCAAGAATTATGCAGTAAAGGCTGGAGGGGACCATATTCCTATTTTAGAAGAGGGGTGCACATTTTCCAGTCAGAAGGTAGAACAAAAGCTGAACATAAGCAAAATCTTATCTAGAGATCTCCATATGGGAATGCATGCAAAATTAAGAGTTCTCCATGCTATCATTGAGAAACTGTGTTTCTGTTGTAGCAGGAACACCCATTTTTGAAATATGGAATTGCTTTAGATAACGCATAATTTCATGGATCTAAATATGGGGTCATTAGTGGGGCAATATTAAAGAATTCCTTCCAGTTATCTCAGTTACATTAGGGAAAAGATAAAAATTCTCCTCTCTCCAATAGTACTTCTGTGGATGTAATTAGCAACCTTGTGACATTAGGGAGGTTATGTTCCCTCCCATCCCATCATTCCATTCATAATTTTCATATTTGAGCCACTAATGGATTGCAGATGCATGCCAAAATTTGTGTCTCTCAGAATGTGGCAAAGCAATTCATTTAAAATAATTGCTTAAAAATGTACATATCAGAAATATGTACAAAATACATTTCCCTGTTACTTGCAATCAGTGTTCACATAATAAAAGAGCATAAGGAGAGTATAAGGCAGTATTTATGACAACTTTTTTCTGATGCATGAATTTGTTTTTTATCTTGTTTTTTAATTTTATTTTAAATTGATTGTCTTAGTGGTCTCTGTATATTCTTGATTATTACGATGTACGCCATCCGGAGTCACTGAGATGGGCAGCTGTACAAATGTGATTAAATAAATAAACATTATTTATGTTTGGGAAAAGGTAAATTCAGCCAAACTGAATAGGACAGAAATATTCATACTTAGGTGCTCACTGATATCTGGGTTGTGACCAGGAATGGGCAGCAGTAGCCCTAAGAACTGTGTAGTCACAAAGAACAGCAGAGAGTTACACATGTGATCTGCAAGGCATGGATTAACTAGGCATAATCTTGAAAAGTTACATGGGAGCCAACTATCTGTGGAGATTCTCAGTCATCCAGGTCATCGTTGTCTCAAAGGTGCTTTTTTCTTCAAAAGGCAACTGTATTGTTTTTTTTTTCCTTGAGGAGGAAGAAGAAAACATTTCACTTCTCATCCCAGAAAATTCATCTGTTCTGATGGGGGGGGGATGGGAGCCAACCATTGCACTGCAAATTTCCCTACTTCATTTATGGTTGAGTGTTTGTAGAAAAAGGGAAAAATCATAGTGTGTGACGTCACATCACAGTTATTTTGCAAAACTAAACATTACTTGGAAGAAAGTTCAAATATTAGGCTGTTGCTTTTAGCAATAGTCCATATCTGTGTTAATATTGGATTCTTCTTTCATATTATAATAGCAGCAATAATGTCAGGCTTACCTTTTTTCTTTTTTTTAATTCTAAAATGATTAAGTAATAAAATGTATCCCATTTCTAACAGTAAATTAATTTTATATCAATCTATTTTAAGGCTCCAATTATATGTTAAAAAAAAATCCAGCTAATTTTCTGGGTTTTCCCCCCCAATTTCTTATATACTGTTGACTTAATAAAATATATAGTTTAAGACATAAAAATTCAGAGCTGTTTTACATTTGTTTATGATCTGCTATCTTTATGTTTTTTACATTTTTCAGTTTATCTCCATTCATCATCAAATTGAATAATTTGAAATTCTGGGTCCAAATGTTGGTCAGAAATAAAAAAGATAGTGCTTACAATACAAGAGTCTATGTGCAACATTCTCCAAATATTATTTTTTCTGGAATTGAGGTAGATATTTTTAAATTATCATCTTGCTGGGAGGGGAGAAAAGTAATGTAAAACTCATTTGCTTAGGATAGCTTTAGAAAAATTAGGATTAGTTCCTGGGATGTCCATAATTGATTTTCCTGCATTCCAGATTTACACTGACTTTTATTTATTATATACTTATACTACATATTTTCTCAGGAAGTCCCAGGAGGCATATGGGAGACAGTCTCTTATTTTTTCCCCCACAAAATAACCATTCTATGAATATAATACTATACATACAAAATGTGACAATATATTGTTTCTTTGCAAACAATCCTGTGGAGATTTCAAAGTTTGGTAACCATTATCATGAGACGAAAATGTTGATTAAAAAAATAATTGATTGAAGCCAAAGTTCTATGCATGCCAGCAAACCTTATTTAATCCAGTGACACCTAATTCTGAGCAGATATATGAAGCAGATATAGGTAGCCAGAAAGCCTTGAATTTGAATCCACATAGCTTCTCATAGTTTAATGTTACAGAAGGGGGAGACCATAGAATGCAACACATAGAGAGCTATCCTGTCAGTTGCATTTAATTAATACAATTTAATTTTCTCTCCCACTTTTTTGTCACTTTCTGCACACTTTTCAGGGGGAAATGTGCCTGCCTCTATTATGTATTAAACTGCACTGAATCTCATGCAGGATTTTATTTTCTTTAAAACTGAATCAAATGCCTTACAGTGATTAAGAGTTAATCAAGACCTGCATGTTAAATGTGTGAATATTTGTATTTCTATTTAAGAATAAGGAACATGAGGAATAAATCCCTATCAGGGCCATGGCAGATGGAGAGAGACCTTCAAACTTTTCCTGAACCATTGAGTCCTAATTAAAATCATCCCCAGATGTTACTCTTCCAGTAAGGAAGCTCTCATTAGCGTTGATGAAAATTTCCAAAATAAATAGCACTTTAAGAAATTGTGAGTTTTGGGGAAGACAGAGGACAGAGCAAGGTGGATTAGTAGATAGGGCTTGACTAGACCCTATATGATAGGAATTTCAGTTCCTGCTCTGGCATGAAGCTGCACAGGGCGATAAATTATTCAGTTCTGGTTCACAAAGTTTGGGACTATATGGTCCAGAAATGATGGGATTAATGTGCAAATATGTTTTGGGGTATGCGTTACACTGATTGTATTTGTTATCACTATTTTTAAATAATTGATTTCTTATCATTTTATATACAGAAAATACCAAAAGACAGCTGTGATACAGGGCATAACATCACTTGTAAAGTAGGCTATCCCTTCCTGTCTCCCAAGGAGGAGGTAAGGTCATCAATAAATGTGTGGGGATGTATACATATTATAAATATGTAAATATAAACAAATACAAATAATGTTTGAACATATCTGTTCTCCTCCCACCACTACTTTTTGTTTAGGTGCTTAGACCTTGAGCCAAAAGTGATGTGTATGTCCATTTATATGTCCAGTGTAGCATCTTTTTCTATGTCATTCTTGTAGCCTGTCATTTTTAAACCCACATTCAGATCAGTCACAGTCTTATCTGGTAAAACCTATTCATTTTCCATAACATCTTTTAAACATAATCATCTATAGTGGTAAGCACTCTTAAAATTAACTTCTAAGTCCACTATTCACAAATATCTTTCAATATGTCCAGTGTTCCACTATGATGTTCCATTCTGCATTAGTAAGTCAGATTTCTCCTTAATTGTATTATTTGGTTCCTTCTGCTTCCCTCTAGTGCCCAACATTCAAAGTTCCATATTACCATTTTTTAAAGAATTCATAGTATGTGTGAATTTATATGTATGTAGAGATATGCATACATGTCTGTGTGTCTGAATTAAAAGTGTATATTTCAACATTTCTTCAACTGCTATCCTACAATGAACAGAGATTACCTGCTGGAAAACGTTAATATATCTCATGTTTTACAATTCAAACCCACAGGAAACAAAACAAGAATTTAAAAAAACTAAAAGTAAAGAGAAAGTAAATAGAGAAGCAACAAATAAAATGCATATTTAAAACTTTGGCGTCAGGCACCTTCTCAAATGAGGAAGATTCTTTTTTATATAAATATTTTATTGGTTTTGAACTATAACAATCTCCAGTGCCTGGTGTACAGTGCGTTGTCTTTGTTTATATTTTAACAAAAAAGGACAATAATAATTAATTAACAATCAATAAAAATTAAATTTGATAATTCCATAATTAATATATTAATTAATGATATATTTCTTTGATCTTCCCTTCTCCCATTTGTATTCTCCTTCTTCAACCTTAACCAAAATATAATTCTTAATATTTTCAATATATAAATGATTAGATATAGGCATTTTTTATATTTATACAAATAATAATAATCTATCTATATAACATTTTTTCCAGCTTATATTATTCTCATAACTATCATCTCATTAGTTCAGCATGCATTCTATTTTTATAATTTTTGCTTAAATTCCCTTATATTCAATCCAATTCTTATCAATCATAATTTCTTATGAAATTGCAACAATTTCATGGCTGGTTTAAGAACACAAAAGTTCTGGAAAGTCCCTTTCCAACAACAACAAATGGCTTGCACACGGTTTGTCTTATGTCAATTCTGAAAATCATAGAAGCAGACTGGAACTTATATGGGAACATAAACAATAATTTTCCAAAAGGTCGAAGTGCCCTCAAGCTGCATTTTGTGGGTAATATGTATTTATATATCACTAACCCCCAGATGCAAAATGGACCTGGTTGCAGAAATCAGTGAAGCATGCCTTAATGGTTTTGTGATCATAAGAGCAATTGCTTCCTTAGAGCTTGTGACCAAAGATACGTTTGTCTTCAGTTAGACAAAGTTCAGGCAATAAGACTCTTGATTCAGATCTTCCTCTGAGAATTGAAGTTTATGTGACAGGATATGTGGGAGGCCTGGCCTCTGGCCTATGTGTGAGATCATGTGAACTTCCTATAAATATTCTACTTCCTTAAGGGAAAAACAGGAGAGTGGAATAGCCAAGTAGTATATAGTATTACTCTGTAACAATTTTTTTTAGAAAAAATACCAATATATACTGCACCTTTATAAAGATTCTTCTTATTTCTGGAAATTAAAGCATGTGCATATTTTGTTTTATTTTGCAATTTTTTTATGCAGAATTCTTCTTTCAGCCTACTGAACAGCATTTATTAAACATAATGCTTATTTAAAACTTATATATATATTTCCATAAAAGCTGAAACGGAAGAACTATTATGCCTAAAATAATAATGAAGTTCACATAGGTCATCAAGTAGATGTTGACTCTTAGCAACTAGATAGACAGATTTCCTTTAGACTGATCTGTCCCCAACCCAAATCTATGGAGTGAAGTCATTTGACCCTGTAATTGAGTCCATCCACTTTGCTGGTAGTTATCATCTTTTTCTTTTTCCTTCTTCTTTTTCCAGCATTATACAGTAGACTTATCAAAAGAGTTAGATCTTCTCACAATGGGGCCAAAATATTATAATATCTCATGCCTTGGGTGAGAATTTGAGATGGATTTGTTGTATAATTCATTTCTTTGTTCCTTAGCTATCTGTAGTCTCAGGAATCTTAAGCAACACCAAAAAGCTGATATTCTTCCTACCTTCTTAAAAATCCAACTTTTATTCCATAGAGTGTCTCGGGGAAAATCATTTCTTGAATAATTCTGATCTTTGTCGGCATAAACACCTCACAGTATTAGAATATCTTTTCCAAGGCCATCACTGCTACTCTACTAAGTGCTAGTTTGCAACATATTTTTGACTGCTGTTCATTTACTTTTGATAGACAATCCCAGTAGGTAGACAATCCCAATAGCTATCCACTGTCAGTTCTAAGGCTGATTGATGTACCTGCGGTCATAGCTTGCTCTTCTGTATATTTAATCTTAGTCTTCATCCTCAGGGTTATTGAATTTCATTATTAGACATTGCACTACTTGCATTTTTAGCTAATTTAAATGTTATCAAATAGTATATTGATGCTCCTTCCTCCACCTTTGAAACCATCCTGATCTTCAGGTCCAGCTCTCCAAATCTTATAAAATTATAGCTGAAATTAAAACTATAAAAACCCATTGTCTTTAAAATTAAAAACAGATTTACACAGATTTTTAATTTCCCATTTCAAAATGGTGAGAAATAATATAACAGAATTTTTGACCAGAGCTGTCCATCTTCTGCTTTAACTTCTTGTGTGAACTTAACTTAGTTTATTCAACAAATCATTGTTTAAAATGTATGAACTATCATTCATTCTCTTCCTGGTTGCCTCTCTCTCGCACACACACACATACACACACACACACACACAGAGAAAGTGGCAAGAAGGTGACAAGCAACAGGGAGAAAGCGGAACTATTTAACTCATTTTTTTGCATCTGTCTTTACACAAAGGGAAAAAACAGACCAACCTATCAAAAATAGTGCCATCAAAAACAGAATAGAAACACAAGTTAAGATAGGCAAGAAAATAGTAAGTGAGCACCTGTCCAGCCTAGACGAGTTCAAATCGCCAGGACCAGATGGATTACACCCCAAGGTTCTCAAGGAACTAGCAAATGTGATCTCTGAACCACTGAACTATATTTTTCAAAGATCCTGGAGCACAGGGGAACTACCAGAGGACTGGA